AAGGGATTTGATCATGATACTCAATGGAATTTACCTTTTGGGGGGTTAGCTGAGCTTCTTAAATCTACAAACTTCCATCTTTCACCAAATTTTAGAAGTTGTCTGCTATAATTTCTTCAGATTTTACCTTCCCCATTCTCTCACTTTCTTCCTTCTCTTCTTAAGTCTTAAATTATCCTTATGTTAGACCTTTTGATATTGTCCTACAGATCCCTGAAATTCTCTTCATTTTTTTCAAGTTTTTTCTCTCTCTGCTTCAGATTGAATAGTTCTTGGCTCTGTTTTTAAGTTCACTGGCTCATCTGTCATCTATATTTTGCTATTAAGCCCATCCAGTGATGTTTTTTATTTTTCAGTGATAATATATCTACTTGATTCTTTTCTATATTTTCTATTGCTCTTCTATTTTCTATATATGCTCTCATTTCGAGTGTATTTTCCTTTATTTCATTGAGCATAGTTATGATAGCTGCTTTAAAGTGCTTGTCTAGTAATCCCACCACTGGATCACCTTGGAGTTGGCATCTGTCGATTGTCTTTCCCCTTTAGAATGGGTTGCACCTTCTAGGCTTTTTGTAAGTGGGATAATTTTAGGCAACCTTGGATATTGTTAATATTATATTGTGTAGACTGAGTTCTACTGTGTTCCTCTGATGAATATTGATGCTTTTGTTTTAGCTGGCAGTTAACAGTTTAGATGCAAACTGTAAGCTCTCACTTACCTCCTGTGGCTGATGGGTCATAGCTCAGATCAATTCTTTAAGCTTTTGCTGCCTGACTTTGAATTTGTCTGATAAATACATATTTCGAGGGTCAGGCTACTTCTCTGATTCCACAAAGACAGTGGGATTTCTATCTGAGTCTTCAGCATTCCTGCACTACCACAGCTATGGCTATGGCTGTAATTGCCATTGGGTCAAAGTTGAAAAAAGAACCATTCCATGTTGGTCCCTTGCTCCAAGTTTAGACTCTTCTCCAAATTCTTCCTGTCTTTGTTTAGTCTCCAGAGCCTTCAGGTAGTTGTGGGTTGTTTTGATTTGTTTTGTTTGTTTGTTGGGGAGGGGGACCTTGTATTTTGTTCATAGTATACAGTTCTTTTAGGATTTATTTTTAAGTGTCTCCTCCTGCATATAGGAAGCAGAGCTTCCTT